AGCCTGTGCAGTGCTTCTCAGCCGGCAGTCAGTCCCATCTGCGTGAGTTATCCAAGGCACACAGAGACAGGCAGGTACACATAGGCTGCTACCAATTACACTTAGGAAGTGTTGATGAGTCACAGCCGGGAGGGCAGGAAACTACAATAGGGAGTTGTGAAACTTAATCCATCTATTGGGGGGGTCATCAATGGGTCTCGAGGGATACACATTTCCATAGCAAAGCAGAATCAAGAGGGTTAAGTGAATAGTGATATGGAAATAATATAGGAGTCTCATAAAAGAGCGCTTTAAAGTAGTCTATTTTCATTTTCCTGCTAGGTAGAACTCCAATTGGACAACTATAAAAGTATTTTACGAGGGACATTAACCCTTTGTGGCTATTTGTGGGATAATAATATAGGAATATATACAAATAAATACGTTTACACACACACACACACACCAGACTACGCCCAGTGACAAGTTTCCCAACAATGCCAATATGCTAGCTTGGCAGAACCTAATATGATTTCAGATTATGAAGAGATTATGGTATAAGGGCTCATACCAAATGTTTTCCAAAACCACTTTTTCCCCCCGGTGGAAAGACAGTGAGCTGATGTGAGCAGGGGCCCCACAGGCACATAGAGGGAGCACCACTGAAACAGACTGACTGCCTTTTCACCGTAGAAACATTTCACAGACAAGAATCTAAAGACAACAGAAAGACAGTCACCCAACTCAAGCACTGCAATTAAATACACAAGGAAGGAGCAGAGGCTGAGTAAAGGCCAGTTCACACAAGCTACTGTGACGCTGTAGGTGATGGCATCATCTGGACAGTGGCTGAGTGTATTTGCTTTTTGAAAACCACAACAGTTTTTTGAGCGGCTGTAAACTCATGTCTCAGGCAAAATAAACAGTGATATGAGGCTCATAACCCGAACGTGTAGGAGTCAGCATGTCACAAAGTTCTTATCACAAAAATTCTGTACTTGCTGTTTGCCACGCACGTCAGTGATGGAATGTCAGACTCTTATCTGGATGTTCTAAACCACCACAAATCCTACAAAAACTATATCCAGCAGCACATTGGGCTGGCTGTCCTAACTATCACCACTAGCACAGCAAGGTAACAGATAGAACCGGGATCCTGGTTAGTACAATTGTACAATACAAATGTACAATATTTGATTTATTAACTTTTCAAAAGTTATACAAATATTTACAGAAACCACAAAAACTGCTTCATTGCTGTGTTGCACCGTAAAATTAATAAATAGACCTAAGACCAACAAACCCTCCATCCAATTTGTAGTGTGGTCAAATCTGCAGGAAAAAATGGTATCAATACACATCACTCAAAAACAAATTAGCCATCATTCAGGAGTTTAACTCAATCTAACGTTGGATTCAGACTAATTCCATATACAGTAGAGGTTCATTCATTCCCTGATCATGTGGGTGGGAGCCTGAAGGAAACTGAACTGAGGAAGTGAATCACAACAAAACAGACAGACCATTTCCTGTGACTGGTTCCGAGCTGGTGTCTTGCCAGAGGATGTCGTCACAGCTCTGCACTATAGATTAGGTCATTTACAATCTCTTCAGATCACTCAGCAGAGATAACTGGAGGCAAAAAATAACGCACTCAAGATCAGACGCCTGGCTTATCTGCCCACCACTGTCAACATTTTAGCCACTTTGAAAGAGAACTGACTTCAAATATGAGGGAGTGGGGGGGGGGGGGGGGGGTGAGGGGAAGAAAAGGGTGTGCAGAAGAAAGTTATTAAACATCTAGTTGGAATTAGATAATAAACCCTCATTTTTGGTTGAGTTTCCAACCAGCCTGAATATTCTGGCTGCAAATTTCCCCAGACCTGACAAGAATGATCCCCAGTGTTAGAGCAATGAACTATGAGCAACGTTGGGCAATGAGCTTCTAGACAAGCTAGGACTGACTCTTCAGTTTTAAGAGATGACAGCTTAGAGGGGACCTTAGAGCGGAGTATAAACAATGGGGTGCGTGTTCTGCAAGAATGAGAGCAAATGGGTGAATGGGCCTTTTTCTTTCAAACAAACCTTGTGAACTTGGGGTGACAGATCTCCTGCTACATCACCAACAAGTTGTCTCTGAGGCCAGAATAAAAGTAGTGGCAGAGCACAACACTGGTTTGATGACATGTGCTTTAGGTACGGTCTTTTGAAAACAGTCTCTTTCCCACCCATCCCAACCCCCATTTAACAGTCACCAAAATAACAGCAGTGAAAATGAGCTACGTTGACTGACAGTCAGGGATATTGCCTCCTAGCTTGTTTTAGACAGTAGACATCCTATGGCACTATTCAAAAAGAGAAGGGAATTTCTTCCAGTGTCCTGGGCAACAATCCCCAGATTTTAAAGAAATGGTCACTTTTACGACTCTTAGTGGGATGTTGCTGTGTGCCAATTGACTCCACCTTGCCCCGTTTCAAATGAAACGATTTGAAAAATATTTACACAGTGGGTTGAATGGCCTTATTTGGTACTGTAAATTTCTAAAAAAAAACATCTGGCGTTCACATTTCAAAATTGATGAGGTGAACTACCTCCAGGCATTTCTCTATTAGCGCACTTCATAAATTTACTCCACTTCATGGCATGAGAAAATTTTCTGAGTGATGAATTGAGTGACAGTCCCATAGCTCTTCAAATCAGATGGTCCAAGGTTACATTGTCACTTCAATCTATCACTCATACAAACCTACTTGCCACGATACCGGAACTGCCTGTAACTTGAATCGGGGAAAGCTTGCCATGGCTTCAATTACTTTAGTCGATGCTTTTTGCTCAAATCTATACTAAAATTGGAGCCTTGAGCCAGCGAAAGGGATATTACAACACAGCACTGGTTTAGCCAAACAGATGAAAGCAACGTCCAGCTTCCTCCAGGGGACATGTGCTGTTCCATTTGTCATCCCTGCTGAACACCTGTAACCGCAAACGCTGGACTAATTAAAGGTTTGAGTTCACTATTTGTTCCTGGAGTGTCCAACTATTTAAGGTTTCACTTTCACTGAGCACCCCCACAAATATAAAATCCTGCCCCAAAACATGCAATACTAGAACCAGAGTAATGGTTTAATGTGGTCCCTCTAGGGATAGCTTAGCTCAGTTGACAGCACATCTGCCACCAAGAAATGGTGGTGGTGCGGGGAATAAAGAATGAGATTCTCTGGTTATTAGTACATTTATGAGCAAGTGGAGGTCGAAATCAATTACTCTGCTAGTACACAATGTTCTCACACCCATATTATTGTGATTAATAAAAATACAGGAAAAGACAGGAGGGAGTAGGGGAGAGAAACCAGTACATTTTCAACAATCACAATTCTTTCAGCTGTTGTCTTCATTATAGGAGGCAGGCATTTCTCCAACTGGCACGTTGTTGCATGTTAAACAAATATTACAGTGTTAAAAGATTAGTCAATGCTCAACAGCTGGTTCATGGCACTGGGCAGCCTGCCATTAATCACTTGAGGCAAGCGCAGCACATCTCAGTAAAGTGATGCATTCATTCCCAAGTAAGATTTCTGATAACCATTTACAACAAAGACTGCAGCACAGCAACCACTCAAATGAGATCCAGTAAGATCTACAGCAAAATCACTGGCACAGCCTTAAACAATGAACTCAATCAAAGCCAATGTAATCTTGATCTCAGTTGTTTGGCAATATAGCAAAATGAGTGTGACCATGGAGAATAGGCAAGGAAAAGTGGCTGCGGAGCATTCTCCAAGGGGCGAGTAGTTAAAGGCACTGTTGGTACAGTAACAGATTAGAAAGTCACAGGTTGCAATCCGACTGTGCTATATTAACTGATATCAAAGTTGGGAAGTGGAGACTACAATATACCTGAATAATAACCCTGCAAATTGGTCTTTCTATATATGACAGATGAATTAATCACAACAAAACCCAGTTACTCTAGTAAGACATGCATATTTCTGTTTCACTCCACATTTTGTGAACACCACACACATCCTGGATTGAAATAATGCACACAATGCAAGGGAATACACAGCCTAAGCAAAGTCTGAAATGGCTATAAAAAGCACTGAAATTGGACTCAACAGATCACCCATTGAAGTCTTGAATGATCAGGCAAATAAATACCAACTGCAGCCTAATATAATGAAAGACTACAACAACTGTTTTATAAGAGCCAAGAGCAGATGCAATAGGTGTTCTTTAAACTCTTCATCTCTTGGCAAATGACCAGGTTTTGATGAGTTGCCAGTGCAAATGAAACCGAGTTGCACTTCATTTTACACTCACACACACTAGTACTGGAAACTGTAATTGCACTACGTTCCAATTGCAACAGTTTTTTTTCTTTTGGCCAGACGGGTGTCTGACATGCCGAAAACCATTACTGTGCTTAAGCATATACAAACCAGACAGAGTTACACATCTATATGTCACCAACACATGGAAATTTCTAAGTGTCTAGAACTGAATGCACAAACACCCAGAGGAACACATAATGCTTACCTAATTCTGTATTAAGCACAGGTTGGCAAGAGCCAAGATTTTAGGACCCCAGTGTGTATGTTGAGGTAATGCTGGACGTTAACCAGCTAAAACTGCACAGCTTGCCTTTAAGAGCACTACTTGTCTTGCTATGAACACCAAATCTGGTACGGCTTTGATTGCAGGGGTAACAAGAGCTGAATGGGAAGCATCCCCGTTCCAAATGAATGGTCTCACCCTCCAAGTTCTGCTGATGAGCCAGGCTGGCTAGTCGGAGTACTGTGGCCCCTGCCAGCTCAGTGAGGAACCAGACTATAGAGACCACCACAGAGATTCCGACACCAAACATTTCAGCTCAGTTTTCTTACCTCCACACACCCAAGAGAACAGAACATGCGCTAAAGCAAAGTGTCTTATAATGGGGGTTGCACTGTATGCAGCAAGGAGATAAAATCATCACAATAAGAAAAGGACTCTGAATTATTCATCATATGAAAACACTTGCCAGTCTTCGAAGAACATTCTCCTCTTGCTCCATGGCCAGGTCCATGCTTGATCGTGCAGTCTTTGGTGCTGTGTCTGGTCGGTAAGTGCTGCCTGGTTTTTCGCTTTCCAATGTTTTGCTACGGACTAGCATGCTAAGTGACTTGCTTGGAATGGACAGAGCTAAGTAGACAAAGGTAAAAAGTGTTTCACAGAATATACTATAAAGCGAATTGACTGTATATTTTGTGGGTGAAAGGTGGCAGCCAATTGCGCACAGCAGTGTCCCAGAAACAGTTGTGGATTGAGTGATCAAATTATTACTATATTACATTGTACTGGAATCCTATCTCACTTACAATTGACAGTCGAGAGTGCCTCCAACAATCACTCAAATCAGCATAAAATGCACTGTAGAGTAGAAAGCTCCCAAGATGAATCCCTAGTCTGAATGTTGTCAATTAAAGGCTGCATGAAACGTCCGTGGATTTGCATCCTATGCAAAACCCACAACTTCCTGATCCAGAGACGAGTGATACCAACTGAACCAGGATTTGACTGTATAAACTGTACTAAAGATGTGTGAGTGCAACGCCTCATGATTTCAGCAAAGGGCCATTTTGTTTATCATACTAGCCTGGAACATCAGCAGGCAGCCAAGCATTTCCGCCTCCCTTTACAATATGGGATTGCAAATAGAAGAAGCCATAAAAATCACATGGGACACTAGGCTTCAGAAGTATTAAATACTAAATCAAGATAGTGATGTTAAATTTATGCCAAACATTGGTTAGATCACAAATGGATGGCCCAGGGGACAAACAAGGAATTGTCCCTGGAAAATTTGAGAGGTTAGAAGGAATGTTTCCATGTTAGGTAGATGGAACATGCATGACTGAGACCAGAAAACATTGAAAATGAAACGGTATAAATATTTGAAGATAAAACTTGAATAGCAAAAGGGGAATGAGCAGGGCTGGGATTAGAGTTTCTATTTCCATTGGATGAGCTAGTGACAATTTATTTCTATTTGATGGACTAAATAATTCTTTGCTATAATTTCTATGATTGTATGACACTCCCTTGGTTTATATTTTATTTTCAGCTTCAGATTCCCTCTGCGCAGTAGTTTCCGCTCCTCCAGTGTGAATAGTGACATTTACATTGGAAACAAATGCAAGGCACAAAGAATTCTGCCAAGATTATTTATGGCTCCAAAGCCACAAAGCTACTGATGGTTCACAGGCTCCACTATCCTATGTATTAATATAAATAAAAATGCATTTGCTTTAACTTGTGTGCAAAACAGATTAACCTTACAACCTACCTTCAATCTCTTGCTCCCGAAGTCTGCGGATAGCAACTCTAATCAGTTTACGCTCCTCATACTCGCTTGCTCCACGGAGCTGTGAAAATAAAAGAATTCCAAGATTTACCAAATGCGTTTGTAAAATGCAGGAGCAAATCAATTGGATGAAGCTGTTCAAAATATGCTGCAAACTTGTTTTTGCTTGCCAATATTTTCCCTTTTTTTGGAGGCGCAATCTCTTCCAGGGTTTCATTCCATAGGCTTTGGTAACCTTTTAGAACCTCATCCCAAGTGCCTATTCTTCAATTAGTGTCAGCAGACTCTTCAACTACGGAGGGCATCACAGCCAAATTTGAAGCCAATCCTTCCATAATGGACTCGCCACACAGTGATCAGAATGGGAACCCAAAATGGATTCTCTCCCTTAACCCAAAGGAACTAAGGCTACGTACAAGATCCAAATGATTACCCGGCCGAGATCAACTAACTCTTACAAATCAGGAATTGACCAATGTCTGTTTTGGGTGAGGGGGATGGGGAGAAGAGAGGACAAGATACAGAACACCTGCAACTAACATCTGCTGGACACATCAGATCAACCATTATATTTTGATGGAATGTGAAAGGTTTCAACCTAAGGCTATATCAAGGCGATTATCCTATTTGTGGAGAGATTGCAGGAAAGGGGCCCAAGCTTCCCCAAAAGAACTCATCTTCCTTTTTGCACACCACTCCTTCCTCTAGGCAGCACTGTGAGGTGGAGAGTCCCCAATTTGGGATTTTTACTTGGGACACTTGGTTAAATGAATAGCATTTCAAAAGGTGCCTGTAAGTATCAAAACATCACAAAACGCTTCAGTTTTCAGCAATGTGTAGTGATTGTATTAGTAGGCAAATAGGGTTATCAATTTTCACACAATAATGGCCTACAAATAGCTATGAAGTGAACATCCAATATTATGATTGTCTGGCAAGATAGCAGAATTTACGTACATTTACATAGATTGTGCAGCACAGAAACATTCAGCCCAACTAAATCCGTTCCTGTGTTTAAGTATAAACACTTAGTCTCTTGCTAAGGCAAGATACCCTCTTGCCCAAGTGAAGTATCAAGCACGAACCTAGTAGATAAGAAATAACAACAATCCTTGCATTTGATAGAGCACACCATCACATCTTCGAGACATCTCAATGTGCTTCACAGGACATACTGTAAAGTGTAGTGACTGTATTTTGTGGGCAAAATGCGGCAGCCAATTGCGCATGGCAGTGAGTGTCCCACAAACAGGTATGAGCAAGCTGTGAGCATTCAAACCAGATACTGACTGATCACACACGTATTTTGGTTCAGGTGCTGCTGCAGTTTGAGCTCTTATATCTGTTGTTGGGCGAGAGGTGGGGCTTGCTGCCCCGCATAAAAATGGCAGCAGGCACCAAACCGACTCCAGCAGCGGCTCGACACAGTAAGGTGCTGCAAGAGACAGGCAGAGAGAGAGAGAGAGAGAGGCAGAGGGGCCAGGCACAGGCGGGGATGCTATGCTGCATGAGTGTTCTCAGTGACTTCTGTTTTTGTTTCAGATTTCCAGCATCTGCAGGAATTTGCATTTTGCCATTGATATTGCCGTCTGGCAAGCTTTCCCCCTCCTTGTCCAGGGCACCACCCTGCCCGTTAGGGTTTGGGATGATTTCCTACCTCCAGTGACTGATCTGCCCTTCCAAGTTCTGCCGATGAGCCAGGCTGGCTATGCTGTCATCAGCAGTGCCCTGGAATACTGTGGATGCTCCTAGCTCAAACTGCACTACCAATCTCGCCAGAGAGGGCTGGCTCAATTCTAACATTCAGTTGCCAAATATCTCATCTTGGAGCCAGTTCAGCTCCAAGGAGACCCCACTATGGTCAAGAATCTCCAACCAAAACTACTAAAGTGTGGTATGGAGTGCACTCCCCCACCCCCAGATATTTAGATGCAAATTGGCAAGAACCAAAGTTTGGAAACCCCAGACAGACTGTATATTAGATACTGAGAATCCAAGGAGGATAGTCACTTAGCCGGTCATTATCACCATCCTCTTGACACCCTTATCTTTTGAGGGGCAGAGCTTTATCAGAAGCAGCATTTCTCTTTGTGTAAGATGGGCAATACACCCTGAATATGAGCATGCGTTCACAAATCCAGGCCATTGTTCCAAATCTGGTTCCTCAGCAGCTCTTCAATCGAAATCTGCCTTCATTGTGATGAAGGACAATAATACACTTCCAATGTTTCAGTGAATCAGTGGCATTTCCATTGGTATCATTCTAAATAAATGATTCCAGTGTCCCTTGAAATAGGCCTGAATGCTTGTCAGTGTCACATAGTTTGACCTCAGAAGCTATGATAGCAATTATCCACGGTAATAGTTCTATACAGTCATAGCAACCCTGAGTGAAAAATAAAAGGATGGTCAGGGTGCATTAGAAATGCATGTAGTGCCCAGTTGGTTTAGGTCTAAAGGCATTCATGCACATATAAACTCCATCAAATCAAAGACACCCACGTACCTCAGCAGGATTGATTGCCTGAACAGGCTGCTGATCCTTTGTGGAAGGAAGAATGGGGTCAGTGTAGAAATGATCCTCAGACTTTTCCAAGCATATATCTGCCCAATCCTGAGGTACAGCCATCTTGCCTGGTGCACAGTGAGCCAACCTCAAGTCAAGAGACTCCAGTGCATACAGAACCAAGTGATAAAGCGAGTAGTGCATTGCCTGCCCCACTTTACCATCCTACTTATGTGAGTACATGATATGGCCAGTATAGATTCTAAGACACCAGCAAAAAGATTAAAGGAAAATTGCACTGGCCATGTTCCCCTTTCATGTAGCTCCATCTTAATGTTTATTAAAAACATTACAAATTCCTTTTTCAACTTCCCAATTAAAGTATGATGATGGAAAACTGCCTATAGGAAGAGACTTGGAACAAAGAATAGCTGTTAACTCCTCATTCCCAACACTGATCAGGAAACTCTTCAGATAACCCTCCAGGCTTTGCAAAACAAAACACATGCACAGGACCTGGTTTTAACTTACTTATACTGCTGAATCACCCACTTACTTATTCTTCTTTGCTCCCAAAGGCACTGAGGCACACTGGGGTAAAAATCCAGATGCCTGCAACCTTCCAACCTCTTATCAACAACTTGCCTTTACATGGTGCCATTCATATAGAGCAACATGTGAGCACTGTACACAGATGGGGTTTGATGCCAAGCAGGGGAGATGACCAGAAGTACAGTCCAAGAGCCATGACTTAGAGAGGGGCCAAGATGGGGAGTAGAGGAAGTTCCAGTGATTATGTCCAGAATCTAGACACTGCCACGGATGGTGGTGTGGAGTATATTCAGTAAGTCTGAGTGTGGGTGAGCAGATGTGCGGGTAGGAACTCACTCCCACCACTGGGCCTGCAGCACACCCACCCAAACACCACCATCAACAGCAAAGCTTCCAGCCACCGGTGGGGAGGGGAGTGCTGCATTGCTAGAGGTGCTGCCCTTCTGATTAATATTACACCTGATAAATGTTAATCCTGAAAAATGTTTCATGTCCACCCTGTTTAAGATATTAAAGATGCCATGGCACTATACGAAAAGTGCAGGAAGTTTCTTTTTATGTCCTTGTCAACAATCCCACGGATAAAAATTTACCATTCACTTCATGACTGTTTGTAGGATATTGCTGTGTATGAATTGGCTGCTGCATTTGCCAATACACTTTTATAGTAAATCTTGAATTACTTTAAGATGTTCTGCTAATGTGAAAGCTACACCAAATGAAAAAGGACTATTATATTGTTCTGTAGTTGCTTATAAAATAGGGTTTGGGCGCTGTCCAATATTGAGCGCCTCCGGGAACAATAGTGAACAAAAAATTCACTCAAGATTGCACAATTTAAAACATTAAAAAAAGGAAACCCTGACATAGGAACTGTGAGGGGAAATTGTAATGAAACAGGCGATGTGTAATCTGTCTGGAAATGTAAACAAACGTCAAATCCAGCACAAACTGTTTTTAATTATGAATAGTTCAACATTTGCCTTTCATTGCTACATGAACACAAGTGTACATTAATTGCATTGATTGAAACCATTCAACTCAAAGATGACTTACTGTACCAAAAATGTCATGCTCTAAAGCTAACCATATGAATATTTTCTGAAAAAGCAGTTACATGATTTTAAAGATCATTTACTCTTACAAATACTGCCATCAATTGTCCTGAAAACAACTTGCTAGAGCTTGGAGAATTATTTTAAATATTTAGAGTTGTAGAAGCTGTAGAAGTAAGTACAGAGAAATCTACAGAAAAAGTGATACAAAAAATGTACTGTTAATGCGTGGGGCAGTTTCAGTTACTGGAATTAATCTAAACATTCACTGAATTGGATGGATGTTGGATACAATGTAGTATCTTTCTCAAATAGCCATTTTAGTCTGTTTCCAAATCTGTGGCTATACAAATTTATATACTGCAAGTGTATAGACACACACACACAATTACAGAACTAAAAACTAGAAAAATTCAAAGACCTGCAGCACAGAGTGGATAAAGGCATGAAGCCACATTACATTGCATTCACCTGAATCAGTATGAAAACTAACGTGGAACCAATTAGTAGTCTACAATTTCAGGCAATATCTATGACTGTTGCAAGTAAGGCAAAACATTCGAAGCACCTAATCCTAACAAAGTTGGACAGGATGAGATGTGTTCCTCATTGGAAGTACAGAATAGTTTCTGCAATTTAAAAAATTACACACAGATGTCCACACCATCTGTTTAAATTGTTTTCCCTCATTACTTCTGTTGGGATGTAAATGTTTGCCTGTGGGGCATGCGGTCAGTTTACTTTGCAGTGTGTTCTCGGAGGCACTTTGAGACGTCTGGATGATGTGGTGGAGTGCTGTGTCAAATGCAAAGATTAATATGATTAGAAATGAATGAGTTAGTGTGGTCTGGAAGGAAGGACAATGGGCTAGGGTGATTAACTAATCACCTTAGTGCAGATATTTTGATTGACGTAGTCTGATCTCGTTATAAATTACAGAGAACCCAA